ACCACCACCACCGAAACCACCACCACCGAAACCACCACCACCACCACCAGCAGCAAGGTGAACCAGTCAAAGCCCTGCTCAGGGAAAGATGCGCTAACTGCAGGTTTCAGGCGTTTCGAGTGCAAAGTTGGCCACAACTCCAAACACCAAGCACTGGAACCCCCTATCCAAATCCCAAGACCGTGACCCTATGGGAGTTTCCGGAAATTAGGGTACCTTAGTTTGGGATCCTTATAATAAGGATCCTACTGTATAGGGTACTATATTAGGGTCCCCTATTTTCGGAAACTGCCCTATGAGTGCCGTACTCCTGGTCGTCGACGCAGTACTCGCCCAGGAAGTCCCAAAGCTTCTCGGGAGCACAACCTTAATGTGGCGGAGTTCTGCTTGGTTATACTTTCTGGATTAGCCACGCGTAGTTTTGGCGAGTTGTCCCACAGCAAGCTTGCATGTATGTATGTACGTATGTATGGATTGATGGATAGATGGATGGATGGATGTATATATGTATGTGCGCACCTGCATGTACATGCATATGTATGTGGATATATATATACACACACACCTTGATACAAAAGTATACACACACATGTACACATGATCTTTCTATCTATCTGTCTACCTAGTATGTACCTATCTGTCTCTCTTTCTCTCTCTCTCTCTCGATGCATGCATGTACCGTATTCTCGTATGTTCATATGTGCAGGCAAGTAAGTAGGTAGGCGGGTAGGCTGGTACACAGATAAGTGTTGGCTAGCCAGACGGGCAGGCAATGAAGGTAGGTACGAGGGAGACACATAGGTAGGCAGGCAGGTAGGTAGGTCGTAGGACAGTAGGTCATGGCAGACCGATAGGTCGGTAGGCAGGTCGATATGATGTAGGTATACATGCACGCACGCATCTAGCAATGTGTGCAGGTCTCTCTGCCTGTCCGTCGGTGTCTGTATGTATGCACGCCCAACGTAGGCATAGACTTTGTCTGTAAGCGTGTATGTACACAGACAGGAGTCGGTGTATGTGTATGTGCTTGCTCTACTTGAACCTACTTCCAACAGCAGTTCAGTGCAGCATAACAAAGGTCGAGGTGTACACTCGGCGACGACCAGAACATGGAAGAGCGGATCTTAAGAATCGCCTGCGAGAAAAACCTCCCAAATGGCTCAAACCCAACACAAGCCTGCACCACGCTACAACAGGCTTCGAAGAAACACATGTTTTCATGCTTAAAGCGAGCATGCAAAACATGTCAACTCACTACTCCCACCGCATAAGACTCTGTACTCGATTTGTGACTCGTGGCCGAAACGGATGTAGAGGAAACCGCAGCATCTGATGTAGGGCCAATCCTCATCATTGGAAGCTGGGAGTTGCAGACTGAAAGACGAAAAGCACTCGTCTTGCTCAACAGCTAACATGCGCAATAACAGTATCAAGGTTGTCGAGAGCATATACTAGACTTGAGATCATGGCTTGTGCTGCCGAATCGATGTTTGTTGCATCTTGTTGTTCATGGTGCCGACCACAAGAGTTGTTGTTGGCACTCTTGTGATGTGGATGGTACTACCTATAGTCTCCATTGTAGTTCCTTTTTGGGGTTACCCTTTTAAAATCCTTAATATAAAATTGGTTAAACCAAAAAAAGGAACTACAATGGAGACTATAGGTGACCTGGTACTAGTCGCACCACTCAGTGTTCCCACAGTTTTCTTTGCGAAGCAAGCCTTGGACTCACAGAGCAAGTTCAGCTCATCGTAGGACAAACCTGGCTTCTGCGAGGGCTTTACGGAGAACTAAGGGCTTTATGGGGCTGCAAGGTGAGCCTAGGGATTCAGGATTCACCTGGAGGCCCAGAAGACCTAACAAGATCGAGGGCTCTTGGGCCGTAAGCTCTGCGGCTATATCTGCAGGCTCTGAAGACCGAAGAAGCAAGTTCAGGGTTTTGGGTTAAGGGTTTAGGTACCTCGGAATGCAAGGGGGTATATTAAACCCTAAACCCTAAACCCTAAACCGTAGCGACTCGAACAAGCTTGTGGGGTCGGCTGATAGGGCGATGGTCCGATATCGGCAACCTGCCGGCCGCTGCTGCCCGACCCTACAAACTTGCCGAACTGTGTGCCTAAAGTGTTGCATATGGTGTAATCTTGTGTGTATGTATATATATATATACATACACGTACATATATACATACATACATACATACATACATACATACATACATACATACATACATACATACATATATATATATATATATAAGTGTGTGTACAGATATGTATGTATGTAAGTATGTATGTATGCATGCATGCATGGTTGGATATATATATATATATGTATGTATATATGTATGTATGTATGTATGTATGTATGTATGTATGTATGTATGTATGTGTGTATGTGTGTATGTGTGCATGCATGGACGTATATATGTATGTATGTATGCATGTATGATGTACACACATGTAAACATGTTCAGACATTCAGTCATTATCAATCCAATGACTCATTCACTCACTCATTCATTAGTTCATGCATTCGTTAGTTCATTCCTTCGTTGGTTATTTCCTTCCTTCCGTCCTTCCTTCCTTCTTGCATTCAATTACATTTCATTCGTTGTTCTAACTAATTCATGTGACTATCTGTTTATGTGTCTAGATTCATATTCTTCAATTTAAAAAGATAGATATATATATATATATAGATAGATATAGGTATGCATGTATTAACATGCAGAAACACTGAAATGGCTTCGACGCTTCGCGGCAGTACGACTC